CTGATCCCTTCGACACCTCGTGATCACACAGGCTTGTGTGCTTCTTCCATGTGGGCTTTGTTGCTTCTCAGCTAGATGGCCACTTGTCTATCTTTAAGCCTTTAAGACCCCAGATACTATGTCTTTTGATAGCTTTAAGCACATTTGAGAAAACGCTTACGAATTTGGTTCTCCAGTCAACCCAGACTAACACACCACCCCCTGGTGGTATGAAAGTGCACCGGGCGGTTTTTCAAACCCTCTTCCAGTTCATCGGTGGTCCCAAGCTCCCCTCTCCCCAGAGTGTCTCTGCTCTTTTTGTTTTGTTGGTGGTGGTCTTAGGCAATCGTGCCCACCTCAACCCTCCCTGTAAGCTCTCTGCTTCCCGTGCTAACACCTGGAAAGGCCTATTCAGCCCAGGCTTAGAACAAGTTTGCCCTTCGTTATCTCCTGGTACATTTCCTTCCAGTTAGAGACTTGATACCATCTGGAATTTAGTTTACTATCCGGAATGAGGAAAAGATTTTCATTAAAAGGTTTTGTTTTTCTAAATGATTAGCCAAATGTCCCAACACGACTGGCTCTCCACCAATTTATAATCGACTAGATTTTTCTATAAACCTTTGTTTCTGGTCTCGCTCAAGGGCTCCAGTGAGCCATCCGCCCTGACCTCGGAAATATATTCCTTTAACTTTCAGAGCTTTGTAAGACATCCACGTGCGAAAATAGATCCATACGTATGCACTAAACAAAAACTCTCTGCCATCAACCCCAGAGGAGAGAGGAGAACTGGCCCAGTGGGCGTCCAAGACTGTAACTCTTTAAGGGAGTGGAAAACCTCATCTGTCTTCTGAGGAGTGGCTGGTGGCTTTGAACTGCTGACTTTGAGGTCAGCAGCCCCACCGGCAGCCACTATGCCACCATATGCATATACACATTAAAAACAAACACACACACTGTCATCAAGGAGACTGGCTCACAGTGACCTTGCATAGAGTTTCCGAGACCGTGGCTCTTTATGGGGACAGACTGACTCCCCTCTCTCCCTCGGAGCGGCTGGTTGGACCCTGGGGTTCACAGGTTGAAGGGAGACCTGGTGGCACTGTGGGAGGAGCACTGGATTGTGAGTCACGCGGTTGGTGTTTCAAACCCACTGGGCAGCCCACCCTCTGGGAGAAAGAGGAGGCAGTCAGCGTCCATCGAGACATATAGTCCTAGAAGGCTTCTCGAGCACTGACAGGGGGGCTTCTCCCGCTCATCCATCGTGTGCATTTCCGTCTTTATACTAAGGTGATCTTGTTCTTACCACCTTAGGGCGATTGGCTTTTCAATGTTTTCGGTGGGTTTCCCAGCTGTGGGGTGCAGCAGGAGCGGACATACAATGGCAATGACAGAGACAAGGTGTCACAGGGTGTGCAGGGGAGGGGGCGGGTGACAGGGAGGAGAAGGGGAGTTCAGGAGTCAATAATGAAAGGGGGAGGGGGAGGGAGCACTAGAACTGATCGTGATTGCCCAACTCATTTTAAAGGGGATTTACCCATGGAGGTGGGGAGGGGGGGTGGGGGGGTGGAATGCTCTAAGATAGATGTGGTGCTGACTGTACAATTCCCCCAGACATGATTGAACGATTGAACTATTCAATTGTATGATATGTAAATTGTGTGCCAATAAAACTGTTGGCAGGGGGTGGGGGTGGGGGAGATGTGCCGTCTCAGAAACGCTGCAGAGGGCCATAGGGTGCCGGCACCCATTCTGAGGCAATGGCTTGACCTCCTGGGGTTCCTTTCGGGCCTTTCTGCTCCTGGCCTGCCTCCTAAAGTCCCTCTGCTAGGCTCAAACCCTCAACCTTGGGGCAGGCAGTTGAACCTTTAACTGTGCTGCCAGCCCTGTCTGCTGTACCCCACAGGGGGTGGTCAGGCTTTGAGCTGCTGTGGAGGTGTGCCGGGGAACGAGACCTCCCAGTGTTGGCTGGGGCTGCGTGTGGCAGCTAGATTGGACGTCAACTTGTATGAAAGTGTAGGTGGCGTCTAATCCAACAGTCAGGTCACAGCCTGGTGACATCTCCTGGGGGTGTGGCCTAGATATAAGACGAGGGCATGGGGGCCTGGCCACCCTTTTCCCATCTCCCTGGCCCTTCTCCTTCCTCCTCATTTGGATTCTGTGTCCATCTCCAGGGCTGGCCCCATGTGGGCCACTGACCCGGGGAGCGGTCGGCGCCCCAGACGAGCTCCCACCGACCTTGGTTCCACGGGACTCTGCACCTGCCAGCCTGTGCCCTCCCTGCTTCCCGCTTCACCTTTCTGCATCTCTGGCCCATGGCCACGGTTGAGTGTGAGGAGGGCCCCGGCTAGCCTCGGGCCTACGGGCTAGTGTTGGATGGGGCAGGGTCACCCTCTTGATACAAGGTTACTTCTAGATAAAAAGCTTCGTCTTAGATGTGGATGAGTGCCACTGTTTGTTGGTTTTTCTGTAGACAGTCCAACCTCACACAAGCTGTCATCCACTTGGTGTGGGCCTGGGGCCCACCCGCCACCCACCAGGCCCTGTCCGTGGTGCAGTGGGCGCGTGGCCATTCCTACCTCACTCACGGCTTTCCGTAAGACCTGTGTGTCCTCAGCCTGCGCGAGGTACTTGGCCTCAGTGAGGGCGACGTCCTCTTCCAGCTGGTTGGCTTGCGTGGTCAGCTGGTCCACGTGCAGGTCCTGGGGAGTGGAAGGAAGGCGGAGGGGAGGGCCAGTGGGGACGCGGCCAGGCGAGCGGCTGTCCTAAGACAGCCTTTTGGTGGGGGGCTGGCCAACAACACTGTCCTGCTCTGCCTTGTGCCCGCCAGCCCTTAAGCCCCCGCTGAGAATGTCGCCTGGCTCTTCTGTTACGTTGCTGAGGTCACGCAAGAACAGGGTGGGTCTTAACCCCAAACCCCTCCGAGGGGCAAAGTAGGAAGACCCACGTGGGGGTCCATCTGTAAGTCCAGGGTGCTGAGACACACCGTGGGGGTAGGGGTGCAGGAGGGGGCTTCCAAAAGCTGGCAGGGGAAAAGAGAGATCTCTTACAGTGATGGTGGGCAGTGAGGGGGGGGATACAATGAGGGGCTTGGAAGGGGGCAGACCTATAAGGAAATTTGACTCTATAACAGATTGGTGCCATTTTCTTAGGGCTCACGCAAGGCAACTGAGGCAATGGTGACTCACAGTGACCCTATGGGGCCCTATAGAACCGCCCTGTGTGTTTCCAAGACCTCTCTCTTTCCGGGAGGAGAGAGCCTCCTTGGAAACCAAGGGAGATGCCAAGATGGGCCCTGATCTCCGGACTGTGGTGCCCCTCAAACAACCCCGAGCCCCCTGTGTCGAGGGAGCATCCAGACACTGTCACCACCGTGCCGCCAGGGCGCCTCCAAACAAAACCGAGCTCCCTTCTGTCCACTGGGGTCCGACTCCCAGCCGCCCTGCAGGGCAGAGACAGCGGCCCCAGAGGCTTCTGGGGTGGACTACTCTTTACAGGAACAGACTGCCACCTCTCTCTTCCTCAGACGCAGACGGAGTGTCTGCTGAGCTCGAACCACCGACCTTCTGCTTAACAGCCGGTCACTTTAACCACGGCACCCCCAGGGAACCTTAAACCTAGGTGGAACCCACTAACGTCCACATGGTTCCGACTCACAGGGACCCTCCAGGACAGAGTGGAACTGCACCCGTGGCTCTCCGAGGCTGTCGCTCTTTACGGCAGCAGAGAGCCTTGTTTTTCTCGCGAGCAGGGGGCCGGCGGCTTCAGAGGGGCTGCTGACTTTGCTGTTAGTGGTGGCTAAGGACGAGCGGGCTTCCAAAAGGAGCCCTGGTGGGGTAGTGGTTGCAAATGTGGCTGCTACCTGGAAGGTCAGCAGTTCAAAACCACCAGCCACTCCTCAGGAGAAAGACGAGGCTTTCTACTGTGGCAGAGAGAGTCTGGGAACCCCACGGGGGCCGTGCTGCTCCGTCCTGCAGGCCCGTTGGGCGTCGGCATCAATTCAATGACAGTGAGTTTGGCCTCTTTGGGCCAAGAGGCCTGGGGAACTGGCAGTGCCCTCTCAGTCCATGCGCGGGATACCTGCTGCCGCTTCTCCACCTCGGCCCGCAGCCTGTCCACCTCGGCCTTCTTGACGACCTGCTTCATGACCAGGATGTCGCCCCGCATGTCCTGGTCCACGTTCTGCATGTAGAAGAGGCGCAGCACCAGGTTCTCCACCTCCGTCTGCAGGGCGGCCACTGGGGATGGAGCAGAAAGGCGGGTCACACACACCTGTCGCTGGGACTGAGGCCAGGAGAGGCAGGGGCCACCAGCTCAGCGTCCCTGTCCCAACACTGCCCCCTCGGGCTGGGAAACTGCTTTCAGACTGTAAAGGCCCAGGCTAGGGGTTCAAAACCACCAGCAGCCCTGCGGGAGAAAGATGGGGCTTACTTCTCCGGTAAAGAGTGACAGTCTCAGAAACTCACAGGGGCTGTCCCACCCTGGCCTGGCGGGTCCTGAGTCGGCCTCCACTTGATGGCAGTGCGTTTGTTTGGGGTGCAGAACACTGGTGGGGCAGAGCGTGAGGCGTTTGGCTGCCAACCGGTTGGTGGTTCCAACCGCACACCACTTGGAGGGAGGAGGATGAGGCAGGGGGTTCTGTAAAGACTCAAGCCTCTGACCCTCCCTGGGGCAGCTCCGGTCTGTCCTGTGAGGTCTCGGTGAGTCAGAACCGACCCGTGGGTTTGGTATTGGTCATTCTTATGGATGGAATTTGTTAAAAATTCTACTTCCTAAGTGGATGCTACTGGTTAAGAGGCAAACTCTGATGTGGCGAGCAGCTACTGATGGATGGCGGGGCCTTCCAGAACCGGTGGGCCTTCCTCCCCTCTCTCCCCTCCATCTGTCCTCCCTAGCCTTCCGGCTAAACAATCTCAGGATGGGGAGAGAAAGAACCTGCCAACACTTCCTTCCCAAGACGTGTTCTCTTGCTGAAGCCTGCAATGCAGTGCCGGGTGGTGGTGGTGCTGGTGCTAGTGGTGGTGGTGGTGGTGCTAGTGGTGGTGTTGGTGGCAGGCTGCCACCCTCACTCTTGCCTTTAACTGCATACGGTCTTCACGCTTGTTTCTGATCTGTGTTTCCCATGACAATCCCTGTGCCCTGGTTCACACCATAGCAATCCCCGGTGGGTTGCTGAGACCGTAACTCTTTATGGAAAAGCCCCGTCTTCTCTCCCTCCTCAGAGGGGCTGATAGCTTTGAATTGCTGACCCTGAGGACAGCAGCCCAGTGAAAAACCACAAGGCCACCCGGGCTCCCTCCCTTGATCTGAATAGGAGCCTTCTAAGCCACTGCTGTGAAGGCTAAGCCATGGCCCTCAGAAAGGTATGCTGAGATCTGAGCCCCTGGGGTCTCTGAGGGAGTTTGGAAATCGGGTCTTTGGGATGTTGTCACTGAACCCCGAGGCCTTAGGAGTGGGGTGGGCCCTAATCCAATGTGAGTGGTGCCTCTTAAAAGAAGATGGGGTGACACGAGACAGCGGGCCACGTGATGGCAGGGTTAGATTGCTGAGACAGGAAAGGTCTTCCCCTGGGGCCTTGGGAGAGGGGGACCCTGTGGACACCCTGACTGGACACAGACGACAGCCTTCTGGGGTTCCAGAGCATGAGGGGTGGGAGGGAGTGGACCTGGAGGGGCTCTGAGGGGCCGGGGATTCCCGGTTCCAAAGACTAAGACCTACTGCCCTCCTGGGCCGCAGTGTGGAGTGGGGTACTGGGTGTTCAGGATGGAGAGGGGGCACTGTGCGGGCACACAGGGGATCACACGCTGGGGGTCTGGGGGCCTTAAGCTTCCTGTTGTCCTCCAGGGTGGGCGCATGAGGTGTGTATGTGGTGGGGGCGGGTGTTGATTCGAGCGGGAGGTCTCGGGGATGTTGTGCATGGGCCTTGTGCAGGCAGGGAAGGGGAGGGGGAGGGTCTTGGGTGGGTCCCGCGCTGCAGGTCCCAGGTGGGTCGCGCGTGGGTTTCTTGGGTGGGTCGCGCGGGCGGTGGGGCTCCCGAGGGCGTCGCTCGCGGGTCCCCCGGCCTTACGCCTCTTGCGCTCCTCCTGGGCGGCGGCGCGGGTGCGCGCGTAGAGGCCGCGCGCGGCGTGCAGCTCCTCCTCGCGCTGGTGCCGCTCGCAGGCGGCCAGCGAGTAGCGGTCGTGGTTGCGCTCCAGCTGCATCTGCAGGCGCGCCAGGTGCTGCTGCACGCCGTACAGGCTCACGCCCACCGCCTGCCGCTGCGCGTGCGTCTGCGTCGTGGCCTTAGCCTGCGCCCAGACAAGCCGCGGGTCACCCAGCGCCTGGGGGCCCCGGGGCCGGGTGGGGGTGGGGGCGGGG